TTTTTATTTATGTTTTAAATTTTTTTGTGAGATAGGGTCTCCCTATTAGTTCAGGCTGGCCTCGAACTCATGGCAATCCTTCTGCCTCAGCCTCCCGAGTGCTGGAATTACAGGTGTGCACCACCATGTCCGGTTAGATTGCTCCATCTCAATAAACCAAATTTAGGAAATTTTCCCTCTTATTGGTACGACTTTGCCTCTCACAGAATCCGAGCTTTCCTCAATCCACTAAGACACAGGAGAAATAGAAGCCTCTTAATTTTCAGCCTTTTGTTCTCTTGAAGCTGCACCTAAGGCTTGGTTCAGAGTCACAGGCTCTTACCCAGGAAGATATGACTATCTGAATGACCCAGACTCTGCCTCCAGCTTCTCCTCGGTCACTCCTCGTCCCCACACCACTCCCACAGGCACATCTGTTTTTGGCTTCATTTTACCACCTTTAAGCCCTTTTTCATTCTCCCAACAGTAATCAACACCTAACTTTATGTTAATGTTTTACAGCATTTTTAGAGGACACAAACTACCCATCAAACAGGAATCGGCAGGCTTAATCACCAAGCCTGCCAATCTACAGCCAGACTTTCTGGCTTGGAAAAACTAATCTTTCAAGAGTCACTTCCTGGGCGTCATGGTGCACGACTGTAATCCTATCACTCAGGAGGCTGAGGTAGGAGGATTGCCACTAGTTCAAGGCCAGCCTGGGCTACATAGTGAGTTGAAGGCCAGACCCTGTCTCAAACATAAATAAATAAAAAAAAATTAATAAATAAATAAAAAGCTTTACAAAGAGTCACATCCTGCCCAGCATGGTGGTGTATGCCTGCAATCTCAGCACACAGGAAACTGAGGAAGGAGGATCACCTTGACTTCGAGGCCAGCCTAGGCTACACAGTGAGTTCAAGGCCAGTCTGAACTACACAGTGAGACTGTCTTATGTTTCTATTGCAACACACACAAAATTCATTCATTGAAACATTATCTTCTATGAGTCCCCCTTACAAGACAGTAATAGAACCAGGCGTAGTGGCTCATGCCTGTAATCCCAGCACTTGAGAGTCTGAGGCAGGAGTTAGAGGCCAGGCAGGACTACATAGTGAGACCCTGTCTAAAAAAACGAAACAATAAAACCAAACAAAAGAAATGAATAGTTTCTGGCACTTAGCTTAATGCCTAGCAAGTACTCGATCAAACTTTGGAAATCATGAGCACAAATCCCTCCTGGTCAAATAGTGACAGAAGGACAAGGGCATTCAGCTCAGTCACTTACTCTCCATTGTCATCATATTCCTTCACCAGAGATTCAACATTGGTGTGGGCGAATCGGTAGCTGTCCCGAAAGTTGCTGGCTGCCTTTAGGAACTCAGAGTGTGCTTCACTGAACAAATCCCTGAAAAACCCTACATGGAAAATGTAGGAAGAAGCTGTAAATGTTAACAGATATTCAAGAATTTTAAGTTCTACTTTTTAAAGCTATCATTCTTTTCTGGGTAGAAAGAATAAGGACTTGGGAGGTCCAGGATTTAGCTCAGTGGTGCTGCCGCCTGCCTCTCAAGCACAAGGTCCTGAGTTTGATGCCCCGCACCAAAAAAAAAAGAATAAGGACTTGTTCTGCTTTGACACAATAACCCACCCTCTAAAGAAACTTAAAAACATACACACAGCAAGGAGAAAGGCTGGCCACTGCCCGGGGCTTCCCACTCACCACTTCACTCTCTCTCTGCACACCGTGCCATGAGACGGAGTCAACAGGGCCCTCCCCAGAGGCAGAGCAGATGCTATCACTATGCTCTCGGACCCCCACATTTCCCAGCTGTAGAGATTTTGTTATAGCAACAGAAACCTGACTAATACAACCCCAGAAAGTAAAGATGGGTGTAAAAACATTTTTTGATTTTTTGAGACAGGGTCTCACTATGCAACCCAGGCTGGCCTTGAACTGGCAGCCATTCTCCTGTCTCAGCCTCCCAAGTGCCGGGATTACAGGCGTGTGCCACCATGCCCGGCAAGCTGTAAACTATGTAAGACAAATCCTAGCCATTTTATCTTAAATTTTAAATTCAGTTATAAGCCCGGCATGATGGCACATGCCTGTAATCGCAGCACATGGGAGGCTGAGACAGGATTGCCTTGAGTTCGAGGCCAGCCTGGGCTACATAGTGAGTTCAAGGCCAGGATGAATTACAGAGTGAGCCCATGTTTCAAAAACAAAAACAAGGGCTGGGGATTTAGCTCAGTGGTTCCAGCGCCTGCGGCCTGCCTCACAAGCGCAAGGCCCCAAGTTCGATCCCCGGTACCAAAAAACAAAAAACAAAAACAAGGCCCAGGGATTTAGCTCAGTGGTTCCAGCGCCTGCGGCCTGCCTCACAAGCGAAAGGTCCCGAGTTCGATCCCCGGTACCAAAAAAAACAAAACAAAAAACAAAAACAAGGGCCGGGGATTTAGCTCAGTGGCACTGTGCCTGCCAAGCAAGTGCAAGGTCCTCAGTTTGATCCCTGGTACCGAAAACGAAACAAAACAAAACAAAAACAAAAAAACCAGGGCTGAGGATGTAGCTCAGTGGAGCTGGACCTGCCTGGCAAGCGCAAGGTCCCAAGTTCAATCCCCGGAACCAAAAGAAAAACAAAACCCCCCAAATAAATTCAATTGTAAAAAATAAGAAATAGTTTACTTGCATTGTCTTGCTTTCAAACTTTCCTTGCAACTGTAAGCACTCTACTGAAAGTTAAATTTCAGAATTTAGGAAATGCTAGCAGCTGGGAGCGGTGGCACATGCCTGTAATCTCAGCAGTCTTGGGGGAGCTGAGGCAGAGAATCAAAAGGTTAAGCCCAGCCTGGGTAATTTAGTGAGAACCACCCTCCCCCACCCCAAATAAAATGGGCTGGGGTGGAGTTTATTCCCCAGTACTAGAAAAAACAAAAGAAGGGGGGCTGGGATAGAGCTCAGTGCAAAGAATCTGGGTTCAATCCCCAGTACTGAAAAAGCAAGAGAGAGACTGAGACTGGACTGGCGTGGTGTATGCATCTGTAGTCCCGGCTACTAAGAAGGCTGAGGCAGGAGGGCTCAGAGTTCAAGGGCAGTCTGGCAGGAAAAAAAAAGGGGAAGATATTCCTATTCTAGTCCTTTAACTGAAATTAAACCTTTACATTTCTTTTTTTTTTTTGGTTCCAGGGATCGAACTCAGGACCTTGCGCTTGCAAGGCAGGCGCCAGAACCACCGAGCTAAATCCCCGGCCCAGACTTACATTTCTAACAACACAATCCATTGAAAATACCATTTCCCCCATATTACAGTAATACTGGCCCAATTCTATCTGCTGTCTTTTAAACTGCCTCAAGCTTCCTAAGATGGTTTTCACTTCGTGCTGTCCTCATATATGGAGGGTTTTTGAAAACAAGTTGGTAATTTTGTGGCCAAAATATTTGCTACTTACCTACCACAGAGGCATCTTTGTCACTAATGAACTTCTTAAATTCTTCCTCAGTCCTGAGAGGAACTGAAGCTGGTCCTGACTGCTTCTTCAGGTGGCTGACAATTCCATCTTATCAAAGTTACAATAAGAATTTAGTGTTTGAGAAGGAAATTTTCATGATTCAAATTTCAAAAGGTACAAAAGGACATACAATAACCCCCCCCCGTTCCTAGTCATCTATTTTCCTTCCTGTAAGGTTTCAGGGTTTTCCTTTGATTTTTTTTTTAGAGGGTGTACCGGGGTTCAAACTCAGGACCTTGTGATTGGGAAGCAGGAGGTGGAACCACTGAGCTAAATCCCCAGCCAATCCTTTGATTTTCTGAGACAGGGTCTCACTGTGAACTTTAGGCTGGCCTTGAGCTCACAGCAGTCCTCCTCCCTCTGCCTCCTGAGTGCTGGGATTACAGATGTGCACCACACCTGGCATAGTTTCAGTTTCTTGCATGTCTTTGCACTGACAAACAAATTGTTATTTATTCTTTCTCTAATGGCAACATATACATGTGTTATATTTGTTGTTTAATACAGCTTACAGGTAAACTATATCAATACATAAAGAGCTACCTTAACCTTTTATTATAGCTACATATTGTTTCATTATGTGGATGTACCATGGTTTAGCCCACCACAACTAATGTGTGTTTATAATCTCTTGTTACAAATGACTCTGTGATATTGTGATAAAGGGTTAATGTTATTTTGCACATGACAATATAGCTACAGGTTATGTTCCTAGAAGTGGATTCACTGGGTCAAAAGATACATGCATTTATAATATTAAAAAGATTTACCTATTATTTTTATCCTTCCACTATGAAGTAAATTTCAAATGAGTAGTGATCTTTGTTGTGCCTACCATATAAAAGGTTCAGTAAACATCCATTCTGCAACTTAATAAAGTCTCTATTCTTAAAACAGTGCAGTGATCTATAGCCTTACATTTTAAAAGCCAAAAACACAGTGCCTTGGATAGCTCGTACAGCAACGTAACTACAGATCAAATCATTCTTTTTTTTTTTGGTACCAGGGATCGAACCTGGGTCCTTATGCTTGAGCAGCAGGCGGTGAAACCACTGAGCTAAATCCCCTGCCCCAGATCAAATCACTCTTGATCTGGCCAAAATCACATTTTCCTATTGAGATGCAATGGGCTAATTAAGTGAAAAGGTTTAAAAATAGAATATTACATACTGAATACATGTACTGAAACCCAAAACACACTGCACTCTACAAATATGTACAATGATCATGTGTCAAAAAATGAATAAATTAAAAAAACACACAAGCTAGGGGTACAGGTGGCAGAGCACTTAACTAGTGTGCTTGAGGCTGTGGGTTCAATCCCCAGCATCAGGACTGCAAGATTCTGGCTCTCTCCCCCGTGCCTGGCTTTCAGACTATTATTCCACTTACTCTTTTGGTCCACTGAAACCACTCATGCACTCAAAACACAGGCCAGAGGCAGTACTATTGCTCTGATGGGTTTTTTTGCAGTAGTGATGAACAAACTCACGGCTCTGCACATTCTAAGATTGAGTTTATCTGCACTAAATTGTTTTTTCTCTCCATTAATGCACATTTAGGGGAAAAATAAGTTTTCTTCCACCGAGAAGTTCTACATCAACAGATTAGCTGAAATTAGATATGAACTGTTCAGTCTTCCACATCACAATATAAATGATAAAGAATTCCAAGTGTCTATATACCTTCTTTAGAAGGTGCACAGGAGTGCTGAATAATCTGTTTAAAGCATAGTTCCTAGAGGTGCATACAAACAAAATCTCTTCTGACTATAAACATTTGACTTACTGGTCAGAGGGTGAGAAATTCTCTAGCTTAACATACTTAACTACTCAAGCTGAGGCAGGAAGATCACAAGTTTGAGTCTAGTCTTAAATGAGTTAGCCAGATCCTGTCTGAAAGATTTACTAAGTATCTACTTTGTGTGAAAAGTCTAGGTGCTGGGGTAGAGTTGCAAACAAACCAAACAAGGTTTCTGTTTTCATGGAGCTTACAATATAGTACATTTCCAAATAAATTAACAATTAAAAAAACCAGTAATAGGGCTGGGGATTTAGATCAGTGGGTCTGCCACCTGCCTCGAAAGCACAAGGTCCCGAGTTCAATCCCCAGTACCAAAAAAAACACAAAACAACAAACCAGTAACAAATATTATTATATTGTATACCTAAAATGTACCAATAAGGGCCGGGGATTTAGCTCAGTGGTTCTGCCATCTGCCTCTTGATCCCTGGTACCAAAAATAAAACAAAACAAAAAAAACCCCAGTAACAAGTGCTAAGCAGAGAATTAAGAGGATGAGATAAGAAAATGACTGGGTTGGCTCCCTCAGATCTAGTGACCTGGGAAAATGTCTGAGGAAAATTGAAGCCATGGTCTAAATAACACAAAGAAGCAAGACATGCAAACATGAGGAAAGACTGCTTCAGGCTGTGAACCCAGCCAGGGTGAAGAGCTGAAGGTCAAACAGTCCCAAGACGGCATCAGAGTGAGAGAGGAGACATGGTCTAGAGTGCTTTATACAGGAGTAAAATGCTGCAACTTCTAAAATCCCCAAACTTAAACTCTCTCCTCTTGGCCTTCCATTATGAAAAGGAATATATCTGACTTTGCTGGATAAAACTGTCTTTGATCATTTGAAAGAAAATTTTTTTTTTAAACTTTTTTTTTTTGGTACCGGAGATCGAACTCGGGTCCTTGCGCTCGCGCAGCAAGCGGTGAAACCACTGAGCTAAATCCCCGGCCCTTGAAAATATTTTTTTGTCATCACCTGTGATTTCGAAGCACGCAGCTCCCACTGCACTCTTAACTTTACTCTCATCCTTGCTCATCATGTTCTGGCCCGTGGTCTCTCTGTACCTCTAACATGCCGATCTCCTCTGCACATCACAGCCATTTGCGTCTGTTTTCCTTCTGTCCAAAAGGCTCTCACCAAGGTCCTCTCCTAGCTGGGCCCTCCCTGTCAGGTTTCAGCTCAAAGGTTTCTTCCCCAACCACCCTGACCAGGTGGTCCTCCCCCACAAATCAGTATCACATCACCCAGTTTTATTTTTCTCTTAATACTTTCATTACTAATTCATTTTATCTGTACATATTTTTGATTTCTTAAATTATGGTAAAACATAAAGCTAGGCCTGGTGCTGCATACCTGTAATCCCAGCTCTCTGAGAGGCTGAGACAAGAGAATCACAAGTTCAAGCCCAACCTGGGCAATTTAGTGAGTTGGTGAGATCCTATCCAAAATAAACTCAGTGCAAAGGGCTAGAGTTTAATCTCCAGTAGAAAAAATATGTATATCTGCAAACATGCATCATAAAATTCAGCATCTCGATCATTTCTTTTTTTTTGGTACTGGGTATCAAACTCGGGACCTTGTGCTTGTGAGGCAGGCGGCGGAACCACTGAGCTAAATCCCCGGCCCCATCTCGATCATTTTTAAGTACATTTAAACGATGCACAACCAAGGCCCAGAACTGTTTTCACCTTGCAAAACTGAAATTCTAGAAGGCTGTGCGTGGTGGCACACACCTGTAATCCTAGCACTTGGAAGGCTGAGGCAGGAGGACTACTGCAAGTTTGAGGCCAATCTAGGCTACATAGTGAGTTCAAGGCCAATCCCAATTACATAGTGAGATCCTGTCTCAAAAAAAAAAAAAGCAAAACAATACAACCCGACCCAAACAAAAACTGAAATTCTACTATTAAACTCCCCTTCCCTTCCTCCAGTCACTGACAATCTATCCTGCTTTCTCTCTCTTTGAAGATTGATATTGTTGGTACTTCACCTAAGTAGAATCATATGTATTTGCCCTTTTTTTGGGTACCGGGGATTGAACTCAGGTCCTTGTGTTTGCACAGCAGGCGGCAAAGCCACTGAGCTAAATCCCCGGCCCTGTATTTGCCTTTTGTGACTGGCCTTTTTTCACTTAGCTCAATGTCTTCAATGTTCACCCATGTCACAGAGTGGGTCAGAATTTTCTTCCTCTTTAAACCTGAACAGCATTCCACTATGTATATGTGTGTGTGTGTGTGTGTGTGTGTGTGTGTGTGTGTGTGTATACATATACATATATATATACACACACACACACACACACACTTTATTAATCCAATGTGAATAATGCTGCTATGAATGTGGACAACAATCTCTTTAAGACCCTGCTTTCAATTCTTCTGGGTATATACCTAGAGGTAGACTTGCTGGGTTATATGATAATTACACAGACACTCCAGTTAAGGACCAAGTTCCGTTCCTGTGACAAGGATGTTAAATGAATTGGTCACTAAATGAGGAATCCTATGTAGTATGTATATTCACAACAAAGATATGACCAAAGGAAACTCCCAACTTGATGGGCAGGGGATGCAGCTCAGTGGTGCTGTGCCTGCCTTGCAGGCTCAAGGTCCTGAGTTCGATCCCTGGTACCAAAAAAAACCCCGAAACAACATCAACAACAATTTGATGACTTAGGTTTTACGTGCATAACTCTTACATGAAGTACTGTAATGTATAACACAACATAAAACTACAGCTCTGTACTGTACAGTACAATCAGCAAAAATTACAGTACTGTATAAAGAAGGTGTACCTTACGAAAAAGACATTGAGGCTCTATAAACAGGATGGGACTGTACAAAAAAAAAAAAAAAAAATAGGTCATAAGCCCCAGAGGCTGATCTAAGTCAGAACAGTCATTAAACAAGGAATATCTGTATCTTTAATTTTTGGGGGACCCACCACACTCTTTTCAATTAGCAGTGCACAAAACTTCCTATTTTGCTACATCCTTGCCAACACCTGTGAGTTTTTTATTAATTTTGCTGTCCTGTGGATTGAACTCAAGGCCTTAAGCATGCTAAGCTGATGTTCTACCATCGAGCTATACCCTTTTTAAAAAATTTAAAATCCTTCTTAAAAATAAAAAATAACCCTACCTCAGGGTTATTTGTACAAAGAACATAGGACGACACCTGTACCCCACAGTCCAAGGGTCATACCAATCCTTAAGTCCTCACATTGGCAGAGGCCTTTACTGTGAAGTTTTCACAAGCGGTCCGGGCACCTTTGGGAGCTTGAGCTGGATCCCAAGTTGGAGCTGCAGCCTGAGCCTTTGGCTGGCTGAGCCTACGATCTGACAAAGTGGGCATAAATATGCTCCCCCAGCCTGGGTGGGCAATGCAGGCAAGTCGACTGAGCTTGTGGCTGACATCTTTGGGTTCAACTCCTTGGGCTTTATGAGGACCCCAGTGGCCTCAGCATGTGTATTTGTGGCCTTGGTATTGATGGCCTGCATTTTCTTTAGGCCATTCTTCAGCTTCTGGCAAAACATTCCTCAGGAATTTGGGATCTACCCCCTTAAGAGATTCTTTGTAACGGGTTTCTTTTCTTTTTTTTTTTTTTGGTACTGGAGATTGAACTCGGGTCCTTGTGCTTGCACAGCAGGCGGAAAAACCACTGAGCTAAATCCCCGCCCCGTAAAGGGTTTCTTGACAGCATTTCTGTGCCATTCTTGGGACTGGTTGTACATGGTGTGGTTCTTGGACCTGGTCTGCACCATGACCTGTGGCTCACCCATTTATACATCTGTAACTTCTTTGTTGTCCTTCTTCCCTTCAGAATGTAAGCACCATAAAGGACTTTTTCTGTTAACCAACACTAAGCACCTAGCATATCTAGAATATCCAGCATGGTGTACTCAAAACTTATCAAACGAACAAGTGCCTAGCTGATCTTATATTCTAAGTTCAAATATTTTCTGTATTACTTACACAATGTATATACAGTCGATCCTCCTACTGCAACCAGCTGACATACAAACAACTTGGGTTACAACCAGAATTTTAGTTTTAACTTACAAAGTCTTGAGTTAAGACCCAAACGACGGCAGCTTGTGCTTCCAGATGGTCTCAAATACAGATTTAACCCTTCAAGAGTTCTGGAAGAAACATGACAGCATCCTTTCCTGTGCAGGGCTGATTGAGAAATCCTGGGCCAGTGTCTCTCTAAGGACACTGAGATCTGCCTGTGTACGGGAGAGAGACTTTGAAGGCTGTGGAGAGGAGCCTGAGCCTTCAACTGACCAATCTGAGTTATAACCAGCCCTTGGGAACGAATTGAGTTCGTAAGTCAAGGGTCCACTGAATTTAGAGAGGCTTGTTTTGCACCAAACTGACCTGGCAGGTAAGAGATTTTTAATACAGAAAAACCCATTTTCATGTTTCCGTGACCAAAAGCAAGACACTTAACAAATTCACTTTCCAGAATGTAACCAGGGTCCTTACCAGCAGTCCTAGGCCCGTCATAAGCCCCTGCTTCTTCACCATCCCTAAATATCTTCAAGGTTGGATAGCCAGTGACGCCATACTTATTACAGGTGTTTGTGTTCGCCGTGCAATCAACCTGCAGATTAGAACACATACACTTGTCTGTTACCCACTTATTTCCTTTAAGGTTTCCCTATAATCCCAATGTTAGTACTGGCCAAGTCATAAAGGATCAAGCAGTTCTTGGCATTATATTACAAATCAAATCTTAAAGGGTGAATGAATGGTATTTGTGTAATCAGAACCATCAAAGGAGTTCTTTAATATTTAGATTATCTGAGCCAGGGATTGAGCTCAGTGGTTTCACCACCTGCCTCGAAAGCGCAAGGTCCTGAGTTCAATCTCTGGTACCACAAAAGGAAAAGAAATAAAAGGAATAGGGCCGGGGATTTAGCTCAGTGGTTCTGCCACCTGCCCTGCAACCGCAAGGACCTGAGTTCGATCCCTGGTACCAAAAGAAAAAAAAAAAAAAAAGCTGGGGATGTAACTCAGTGTGAAGGCCCTGGATTCAACCCCTGGCACAGGA